TCCCTCGGACGCCAGACGTCGCCGGCCTGCCCGCGCCTTTCGGGATGGGTCAGTGGCTCCCTTCCCCATGGTGTGTGGGGGGCTGTCTGCTCCATAACCTGGGGTCCCCCTGCGCTGGGCTGTGCGATTCCCAGGACTCCCCCACGTGTGCATTGCCCAGACACCGAGGCCTATCCTGAGCAGATAACAAGGCTCATCCTGGGGCGACAGAGTGTGACGGACCAGGCGGTCTGAGCACAGCTGAGTGCGTCCGCTCAGGGCAAATTGCTCAAATCCGGGCTCCCTACAGCCCCCAGACTGGTGACCTCTCCAAACAGGCCACAAACCAGTCCCACAGAGCGCTTCAGCTGCCTGCCTGAAGCCTCCCGAGCAAAACCCCTCCGACACCCCAGCAATATCCGTGCCCCAGATGGCCCCGGGCCTATACACAGGTGGGGGGTCCTAGCACCCAATCCCACCTACCCCGAACAAGTTCTGTCCGGTTCCAAGAAACCAGCCACAGATCCCTGGTCAATTTACCCTCTGGACCTTACCCACAAATCACGCTGGGCCAATCCTTTAGAATCTATATCTAAAGGTTTATTACTACAAGAAAGAAAAGCCTGAGAGTGAGGTTGTTAAAGGATAGGATGTTACATGCACCGAATCTCCCAGTTCTCGATGCAGGCTCTAGCAGAAATGTTACAGCTGCTGGTTTAAAGTCCTTGTTGCGCATCCTAGGATCAGGATGGGTTCACAGGTCTTCCAGGCTCTTCGATCCCTGCAGTGCTGCCTCTGGGATGAAGTGCTGAGCTGAAGACCAAGATGGTGTCGACCACATGGCCTATTTATCCCTCCTTCCTGGTCTCTTCTTGGCTGCAGCAGGTCACCTGGCCAGTGGCCTATCCCTGTGTCCCCTGCTGGCAGCTCTTAGGTGTCACCATTCCTGAGGTGTGTCCTTGGCCCATTGAGTGCCATTGTCCCACAGGGCCTCGCTAATTAGCATGTCTATAGGCCGGGCTCTGCCCACTGCTCAACCACATGCAGAGAGATATTCAGTATCCCCACATTACAGATCCCTACCTCCAGACACAGACATTACACAGATCTATGAAGAGCAGATACAGGATCAGAAGAAAGTAGCTTTTGTTTGACTCCTCACACGGCCCCCTTTGCACCACTTTTGGGGCGAACACCCCCCCATGGGTGCAGCAGTGATCCGGCTGCTCCCCTCGCAATCCAATAACGTGACACAGAGAAAGGCAGGGAGGCGGACACGGCCTTGGGATCGAGGAAAGGAACAGACTAAGCCGGGTGCTGAGGGTAGTGGGGGCGACGGGCCCCCTAACCCAAGGGGTCGGAGGCAGCCTGGCCCTGACTCCGGTACCCACATCACGTCTGTGCTGGGCTGTGTCCCGGAGAAGCAATAAACCCCTTTCTTCAACGGGCTGGCGGAGTCTTTGCTCACGGCTACGGGGGGGCAGGATCGGGGGACCCCGACGCGCTGCCACACACGGCCGGCTGCTTTGCTCTGCGCCGGAGGAGCAACCTTTGTCCCGGAAAAGGCGTGTGCCCGTTGGCACAAGGAACATCGCCTGCCACTTCCACCCCGCCCCGCCACCTTGGCACCCTTCTGCGGGTTTCGTGAGACTCCGCTTAAAACTCCTCCCTTCCGGCCCGGCCTCAGAACCCGAAACGGGCGCCCCCGTGCCTGCGGGGAGAGGGGAAGCACCTTTCTGTTGTCCAAAAGTGGGGCCAGCAGGGTAAACTGAGGCACGGCGCTGTGCATAAAGCTTCCCGTGAGTGACCTGGCTCGGTGCAGGGGGGTGCAAGGAAGGGATGGAGGATGGCTGAGGGTACGGGGTTGAGGAAATGCCTCTCTGGTGCCCGTAGAGAGCTGTGTACCGCGCGGCCTCCTAGCCCGGAGCAGCTGTCTGTCTGTCTGAGGGTGGGTCGGTCTGTCTGAGGGTCTGTCTGTCTGTCTGAGGGTCGGTCTGTCTGTCTGTTAGAGGGTTTGTCTGTCTGTCTGTGTCTGAGGGTGGGTCCTTAAGTTCTACTTTCAGAGGGCTGTAAATAAAATAAATGGGGCTTTTAAAAGAAGCCTGACTGTAAAGTCTGTCTGAGGGTCTGTCGGTCTGTCTGAGGGTTGTTCGGTCGGTGGGTCTGTCTGTCTGAGGGTCGGTCGGTCTGTCTGTCAGAGGGTTGGTCTGTCTGAGGGTCTGTCGGTCTGTCTGAGGGTTGTTCGGTCGGTCTGTCTGAGGGTCGGTCTGTCGGTCTGTCTGAGGGTCGGTCTGTCGGTCTGTCTGTGGGTTGGTCTGTCGGTCTGTCTGAGGGTCGGTCGGTCGGTCTGTCTGTGGGTCTGTCGGTCGG